GCGTTTCAATAGTTGGTGGTACTTCGGCCTTGGTTGTTGCAGTCAGAAGGGCCCTAACTCTGCTTTTCTTTGCCATCTCTTCTTCAGCAGTTAATGGGACAAGTCGTATTTCGGGCAAGTTTGGGTCCGGTTCTGGTGCTTCCTCAAGAAGGAAATCGGTCACTCGGGCCTTTCGACGACCGCTATATCGGTAGGTCGGTTCAAAGCTTAGAACCTTGGCCCAACTTCTTTCTTTAATCCGTAGTGCGGCTCGGAGTGTGTTCAGATGTGGGTAACTATAGTAGGAAGCAAGATAGGCCAAGTCTGCAAAAAATATACGACTGTTAGATCGGTCATGACGCCTGAAACCGAAGTAAAAGAAAGACATGCATAAAACCGAAGTAACTTTACCAGGTTCTCCTTTCTTCCAGTTAATACTTCGGCCTGGGATTTGGGCTTGGTGATCCTCAAAATTGCCCGATACCCAGAAGAAGTCATCGTCATTAACATCCTTATCCGGTGTATCTTTTATTATCTTTTCTCTACGTCGGCGTATCCTAAGGTAATAAACCCAGCCATCATCTTTGGAACCTATGGAGTACTGGTGGAAGATTTCGGCTAAACCGAGGTTCAAGCCTGCTTGGCGGTTTAGCTCGGCAATACCCATTATTATCTGGTATGTGTTGGTGGATAGCTGGGTTGGGCATAGTCGGGTTTGCCTAAGAAATTCGCAAATTAAAGGCTGGACCGGGAACCTTAGTCCAGTTTCTATAATAGATAAAACAGTAAAGGGGACAAAGCCTTGGTTGTTCCACGGAATGGTTTCCTTTTTGGCTAGGGTAAGGTGTACATCATCTGGAATGCCATAATCCCTTCGGAATTCGGCCATGCCACCTGGGGTATCTACCAGATACCTATACTTACCCATTTGTGGTATAAATTATTAATAAGTTATCTCGGTCGGAAGATTGGACTCAAGTAGCTCGGTTGAGCACAAGAAGGAATGCCTGGGCAACCTAAGTCTGCAAAGTAGAAAACAAAGAGGTTATGCACAGATCATTAGACCGTGCTACAATTTAAAAGCAAGGTATAAGAGCCCTACTTCGGCCTCAAAAAACTGGTTCTATCTCGGTTCATCAAAAGGTTTGGTAGACCGGTTTATTGTCTAGGGGCAACTTTCTGAGTTCGGTCTAAGAAACTAAGAAATCTGGTTTAGCCCCAAAGCCTAAATCGGTTTTAGTGTGAATAAAGTTACTTCGGTTAAGCCTCTAGGGGCAGCTTTATGAGTTTGGTTTAGGAATTAAGAAAACTGGCTTGGCCCCAAAAGCTTAGTTCGGTTGAGAACCGAGGTTCCTAATTTAATATGTTCAAAACTCGGTGATCTTATTTCGGCTAAAGTGAGTCAGGCGTTGGTGACTCTTTGAGACTTTCAAGTTCTAGTTCGGTTATTGACTACAGTGATCTACCTATATCGGGCAAACGGGATCCTAGTTCGGTTGCTACCTAATTTTGGATCTAAGGCTAGTTTTTTACAGAAGTTCATGCGCGTATGAGCTCTGCTATTATTTTGTCGTAAAAGTACAGTTGCAAAACAAAACTATACAAATGTGTTTTGCAAAAAACATACAAAACAAGATATACAGATGCGAAAAGCAAAACAGAGCAAGAAAGAAAGTAGATTTGCTTACCAGATTAGAGAAAAAGGGACTGAAGATGAAAACTGTTGCAGAAAAGGAAGAGCACGAACGGCAAGAACACAGAGAGAGAAGATGAAGAATGGAAGGTGAATGATTCAAG